CTACCAGTGTAAATGTTATGTTGATAAATTTTTATACAGGTTTGTTAGGGAGCAATAACAAGAAAAAAATGTCTGTATGTGTTCAGTACAGACACAATTATTTTTAAAATATTTTTGTTCTGTAGCTTATTGTGTCTGTCTGTATTTCATTATGGCAATCCTAATAGGTAAATAACAGCTGGATTTAGGGTGCCTGGATGCTTGGGCTCCTCCTTGGTACTCACATAACATACAGAGTTTATCATCAGTTCAATGACCTATTATTTTATTATTATTATTTTATTATGGTCCTTTAAGTCAATGACTGTCTTCCTAGGTTTGAGAGCAGGACCCATGGACTCTATTTTTTATATCCCCAGCTCTTTGTACATTACCTAGCATATAAAAAGCAATACAAATTTTCACTTTACTTTTGTTAATTATTTCACTGCACAAACATTATATGTGCATCCAATCAAAAATATAGATCTATACTTATCATTTTAGTGACTGCATTTAAATGACCATTTATTACTGTTTAATAACTATTCCTGTGACAGTATAATGTAGACATTTATTATTGACAGTTGTGTTTAGAATAATCACATTCCCAGAGAAACTTCCAGTGTGCTTTATAGATCTGTGGGTTAATTTTGGAAGACGCAACATGTTAAGATATTACCACCCAAGGGATATCTTCTCATTTATTAATGGCTTTAAAATCTATTTTGTCTTTCAATTTTCATTAAACAAGCTATTTCTTATTACATTTATTCTATGCATTTAAAAATTTTAAATTATATGCATTTAAAATTTCCAATTATCAGCAATAATCATTATTATTTTTTTTTTTTTTGGTCTTTTTCGTTTTTTATCAGTACCAAGGATCGAACTCACAACTGCCTGCTTGCAAGGCAGGCACTTATGCCGCTGAGCTAAATCCCCAGCCCCCAATAATCATTATTAATTGTCTCACTGGTTACTACTTGTATGTAAGGAAGCTTTCAGTTCATTTAATTATTTTGTATACTATCATTTTACTGAACTTTTCATCAATTTCAATACTTTTAGAATTGATTCCATTGGGTTGTCTGAGTAGACGATCATTATTCACAGGTAAATATAATTTTATCTCTTTAAAATATTTGGTTTTGGTTTTATTGTATTGAGCAGGAGCTATAGAACAATATGAATAAAAGATATTATATCTGGTATTCTTTGCTTACAATTTCTCCTACTGTTTTTATGGCTACCATTAAGTCTCTCATTTTCTTCAAAATAGCTGTCCATACATTTACACATAATAAAACCAAACAAAGCAAAACAGAACAAAAACAATCAAAACAAAAGCATGAAAGCATTACAGGACTTCAAAACAAGATAACAAGATATCAACAATGGCTACCATAATAATGTCTCCTGTTTTCATCAGAATAGCTGTCCATACCATCACACATAATAAAATCAAACAAAACAAAACAGAATAAAACCAATGAAAACAAAAGACTGAAAGCATTACAGGACTTCAAAACAAGAAAATAGGAAATCAACAATGGTTACCATAATACATCCCATTATCCTCAAAACAGCTGCCCATACTATCAGACACAGTAAAATCTAACAAAACAAGACAGACTAAAACCAAATCTAGCAAAATTATCAAAATGATACAAGAATGTTACAATTTTTCATTTATTTTTTAACAACTACATATGAATTGTTAAAGCTCAGGTTGACTTGTACATTTGAGAACTGTTAGGTGAGATTGTAAGCATTTGCCCAGCATAATGTCCCTACATTAGTTCAAAATCTGGACACATTGTGACAGGAAGGCAAAATGTATTTTTCCTTTTAAGGGATGTAGAGGAAAGAATCAGCTTGGGTTGGCACCATAAATAACCCAAACCTACTATGGCAGTCCAAGTGCTGCATGTTTTTGCCCGAAGTGAACGAGTTACCGCTTTGACCTATTAATCGAGATACAACGGAGAACAAAGAAGAGTATCTGTGTAGGAAAATGCTTGGATGTAAATACTATATATGTACATGTGGAATAAATTAATAAGTAAGCCATACTTATGGTAGAATGACCTTAAACATTTTGTAAGTTTTAGTTTTGTTTTCCAGTACATCATTGTACATTTGCAATGCATAATAGTTTTTCATTTGGGGGGATTGGTACGTGCATATAATGTCTTTTGATCTTTGATCCCTTTATCTCCTCTCCCTTCTTTCCTCTCTCTGTGATTCTAAATTAATTAATTCATCCCTCCTGCATCCTAAAAAGTCTGTTTCTTATAATGTCTTGTTTATTTTATTCATTTATTTATAAATATTTTAGGGGTTTTTTTCAAATTTTTACTTTATTACTATATTTTGTTTGTTTGTTTGAGACAGGGTCTCGCAGTGTAGTTCCAGGTGATCTTGAACTCGTCATGTAGTCCAGATCGGCCTTGAATTTGAAGTAATCCTTCTGCCTCAGCCTCCTAAGTGCTGAGATTACAGACATGTACTACCTTGCCGGGCTAGTACACATTTGCAGTACACATAATGATTGCATTTTTGGAAAGGAGTTGGTACACGACACATCATAATTCTTTTTCTTTCCATTCCCTTCCCCTCCCTCCCCTCTCCGTTCATCTCTTGGTCCCTTTCCCATTTTCAAAAGGTCTATTTCTGTTTCTCAGCATCTATTTTATGTTTCTTGCATAAGAGAAGCCATGTAATACTTAATTTTCTGTGTCTGGTTTGTTTCATTTAGCATTACAATCTCAAGTTCTATCCGTTTTCCTGCAAATCATGTGACTTCTTTGAAGGTAATTGTTGTACAGCCTTTAAATATTTTTCAATTTTATTTAAGTCAATCTAACTTTTGATTCATAATGTATAGTTATACATTTGTTTTCTAAAAACATTTTGCCAGGATTTTTAATCTTTAGCATGTTAATTTTACAGCATAAAAAATTACCTTCATTGAGGGGGAGAACCAGCAGCAGCTCCTGAGAGCCACGCCATGTTGGAACTTAGGACACTGGGAAGCCAAGCAAGCATCTCCCCTCCCTGGTAATCGGTGGCAGCGTGGCAGACTGCGGCCCTTCCAGGGGGAGAACCAGCAGCTCCTGAGATTCACACCATGTTGGAACTCAGGACACTGTGAAACCAAACAATCAGCCTGCCTCCCTGCTAAGCAATAGTGAACCTACTGATGCACGGCCTAGAGTCAAATATCCCACTTCCCCTACCCTCCTTTTTCTGTCCCCCCATTATCAAATGGGAACCAGAAATCTGAACGTCTCCTGGGAGGCTGATATAGCAAATAAGGGGGACTTCCTTCTACCATCTCTTTGAAGGCAAATATTTTTATTACTGTTTTGCTCTTTTCTGATTAATGGTACTGCTCTATTCAATAGTCTGTTTTGATAAGTTCTATAGTGTTCTATATTTCATCTCATTTTGACATATGTGATTGAAAGAACAACTATTATAAAGATAACAAAATATACTGTGATACCTATTACTGTTATCCCGGTAACCTGCTGTGACGTTCTGTACCAATTTCACTGTACGATCTTAGTTGGCTTTATTAGTCTTGTTCTGTTGTATACTTTCAAAATAAAATTTACAAAAAAATTACCTTAATTAAAAAGTGAAAAAGCTGCACTAACTATTCTGCTATTACATTGGGTTAAATAGCTCTTCGAGGTTGCTTTTCTTTTTAAAAAAAAAAATTTCTAAGGGAGAACTCCCCTTAATTTACATCTTTCTTATCAACTTTGAACTTTATTTGACTGTGGCCAAAGGCTGCAACCTGCATACTCTTTCTGTTTGACTGATACTATATTTGTGATTAAAGTTTCTGGAGTTCAGAAAGCAGAGTGTGTTTTCTACAGGATATAAAGCGTGATTTACAAAGTGTAGGTCTTTAAATGGTATTTACATCCTGATGCTTCACTCCACATCCTCTTCCATTTGCCAGCTTGACTGACAATGACAAGCGAGTGGCAATGATGAGCACTAGGTGAGTGAAAGAAGGAAATACCATACGGCAGACTGACGAAGGGATACATAAAGAATCAAAATACACACCCGATGACAAGGCCCACAGGAATATTTTTAAACTAATAGTGTCCAGCTTTCTAATATAGAATGAAGTCACCAATACTTGAAAACACAGAATCACGGTCCATTCAAAATGACATAGTAGTTTTTAAATTTGTAAAAATGAAACGTAACAGTAGTTGATAAGTTACTGAAAGTCTAACTAAAATACACTTGCCTATCACTGAGATTAAAAAGAAGGCCAGGTGGAGAAACTCTGGCCCTGGCACATTATTATATGCTGCCTTGGGTGAGTCCTTCTTTTCGGATTATGTATTTGCATATTTGAATGGAGTACGAAGGTTGTTTTAAAAAGAGCTGAAGACTTCAGAAGTTCCCAGTGAGTTGAAGTTCATATTTTGGGAGTAAACGCTGCATTACTATTTATCTGAATTTGATGTCCTCTTAAAATACTTTATTTTTATATTATTTTTTACTAGAACATGTTTGTAATACATGCTACTTTTATTGGGGAATATCAAACCTTAATTATTTTTATTTCCCCTTCCCTCCATCTTCACATCTCCCTCTATCCCTCGATCCCCATCCCATCTCCATGAAGTCTAACACTTTAAAGAGAAAGAAAAATAAGTATTTAATAGTTTCTTTGGAGAAAGATGTATCTGCCAAAGTCCTTGCTTTTGACTTTTAAAAATGAAATTTCAAACTGCAAATAATAGATAGCATTTCTGTGTAGTGACATTAAGATTAGCAAAATCACACTCATGTATTGTTATTTTTAACTGCAATTGCATTTTCATATTCATGTATCTATCAAAAATGCCAAGAATAAATAAAGATGAAATTGCCAGTTGTACCTGAAAGCTTGTAACGTAGAAAACCAAGCAAAATTGATGCTTTAATGAATCAAAGAGGAGGTAGAAGCATACGTGAAAAGCAGGCTGCTAGCTCGGGGTTCTTACCTTTGGGTGGTTTAAGTAATACAGGATATCTGTGTCTTCAAGAATGAGAATCAGTGGGATCTCCAAAACAGGCACGTATACACTGAAAATCTTGACATTGTCAAAATCCAGATCCAAACGTCTTTAAAATAGTAAATATGCTGATTTTTTTTCTTTCCTTACACATGCACACATCACTAGTTTTCTTAATCATTCCGGGGGAAAGACACACTTCTGTGGCACTGACAAAGGAGGATTTTCACGACTCAGAACTGGATTTGCGGATTTGTACGTGGATGAAAATAACAGCAACCAAATCGTCACCGTCCGTTGCTTGAACCTGAGCTTATTAATATGTATGAGAGCAATAGATAAAGAGGGGTTACCCAAGCTACGTATCTTAATAAATTTGAAAGTAAACCAATGGTAACATTATCTGACGAGTTTTATTACATTCAATATTTCTCAAGGTTACAGTCTTTTAAAAATTGTCTAGGTTTTTACAAAAGTGTCGTTAAATTTTCAAATGATGCAATTATATTAATTAGTATTAAAGTAGAAATACAGTGCATCTAGCTGTTCATGGATATTTTAATTATGTATTTGGCAGCAGACATACATATTTAACACATATCTGATCACAAAATAAAGTCAAATGAGGTTGCTGAAAGAATAATTCATACTTCAATAAACAGAAACCATCATATATGTCTGTTAATGTCAGTTACTCTAAAAACCTAAAAGCAATTTTCCTTAGAAATTTTAGTGTAATATTTCATAGGCTACATACTTGAGACTTTGCTTATGAAGAAAGATCAAAATAGCATGTAATAAATGCTATCCTTTTATCAAAATTGCCTGAATTTTAATCTATCATCTTCAGAAATACATCATTCTTTTGTAACTGTCTTGCTGAATAATTAGCCATTGGACAATTAAGTAACATCTATTGCCTCAGTTAACTGGCTTCCCAGGGGGATAAGTGGGACTCAAAGAAAGAAATACACCAAGGTGCCTGGAGGAAAAAAGGGGAAGCTACTGAGTACCTTAGGAAAGTTAACTTTTTTAGATCTCAGAATTTGAAAAATCATTTTCTGTTCCTAATGATAAAACATGTTTCATAAAATTGTGGTGTTAGGGAAATGAAGAAAATAAAACTGAAACCTAATTAATCTGACAACACTTTGTAACTACCATTATATATTTTTAAATTGAAATAATTTTGATTTTTATCTAGCATAAATTTTATATTACTAGGTATCTAAAGCTTTCTTTTAAAGATGACATTAATATTTTGTCATACTCCAGTATTTAATTTCTTCATTGATTTTTTTCCTTTGTTCCAGAGGATTTTAAAATGAATGTTTTTATTCCTAAGTTATTATATATATATCTATGGTCATTTAGTGTTTTCTTAGAAATGAGATGACCATACAGAAGTATATTAACAGTTTTGATTCTAATGTTTGCTAATATAACTTCCAGAAAGCCCGTGCTTTTTGTCACACTTTATAAATTTAAATCATTATTAATTATATTTTATTACTTCTTTCAACTCACAGATCAATTAACATTTTATCAAACATGCCACTTTTGTTTAATCTTTCATAATTATATTTAAACACACATCTTTTAATCAATTGATACAGGTGTTCTTAAGAAATCCACTTCACTCATGTCACAATTCAGCTTTATGCTACAATGTTGTTCTATTGGGGCTGGGGATTTAGCTCAGCGGCATAAGCGCCTGCCTTGCAAGCAGGCAGTCGTGAGTTCGATCCCCGGTACCGATTAAAAAAAAAAGGAAAAAGACAAAAAAAGAAAAAACAATGTTGTTCTATCAGTACCTTTATATCAGGCTCCTCTCTAAGAAAAGCTATATAATCTACTTAGGAAAATAAGCCCTTTTCCTTGAATTAACACAGCAATGTCTTTTAAACTTACCTCTATAAAATCAATTATAAACACTTGAAGAGCATGAAACAGTAATAAATGATAAAGATACATAACGTAAAATAAGAAAAGACATACAAGAGAAATCCTTTACTTTCCTCAGTGCTAAAGCAATATTCTAAATGCTAAAACAATCTAGTAAAGAGTGTCCTGTATCTACTTTACTTTATGTAGGAGGAAATGAAGTCTGGGAGATAAAATAATTTGCCCAGGGTCACAGTGCCTGGTATTATGTCATTTAGCTGAATGCACAGCCAAGTAGGTTGGTTAGATTTAGCAAAATCAATCAATCAATCTCAAATGTTGCACAAGACAAACTCATACAAAAAAGGATGTTTAGCTAAAATTTAAATTTAATGGGACGTTCTGTTTTTTATTTGACATCTCTACTGACCTATTAACTTTTGACTCCAGAGCACCATAATGCCTTTGTCACCAGAAAAGTAAATGCATGAAAAATGAGGTTAGGTCATCTACTTCGACAATGTGTCTCCAACAATGATAGCAAAGAACACTGAATTGTCTAGCGTATAAAGTGCTCTGGGCTTGGATCCCAGCACCAATTTTATATATATATGAGAGAGAGATTAGATATTCGACATTATATATTCGATATATATTTGCTATGTAGTGATTCATATATAACTTGTATATATAATTGATTCATCTATAACAGTGATTCATCTATAATTTGAATGCATCTATAAATCCCTTAGCTATTGTCTGAACATAAATACAAAAAAAAATTATAATTGCTACTTTTCACATTATTATGTCCCTCACATCTAAGCAATTTTCTCCTCAGAAAATTTTAATGTTTTTAATCACACAATCTCAGTCTATCATACAAGAAAGTACTCAGTGGGCAGGGGATATAGCTCAGTGGCATAGCACCTGTCTGGCAAGCTCAAGGTCCTGAGTTCAATTCCTAGCACAAATAAAAGAAAGAAAGAGAAATTTAGATGTTCTGCAGACTTCCTGAAGGTTCTCAGCTTGCTATGGTTTCTTGGGGAGGTCAGGGTTTTCAGAAACCACCCACCAGTCATCAAAAGTTTTGTTAAAAGATCCAGTGTTCACTTTTACTCTCTTACTGTCCACTTTCAGGAGTTTTCTGAAATGCTATACTGACCTTAAATGCACAGGTCTCAGTCAGTGACCTGAGTTTGAAGCTCCTGTACTCACCAGCTCTGAATCTGGGGCGTGACAATGGACTTTCTGATCTGAGTTTCCATTTCTATGGAAAGGGTATGATAATATCATGAAAAGTTGTTATGAACAGTAAATAAGGTAGAATAATATGAAAATTTAACATAGTTCCTAAAGCACTTGCCAAGTGACTACTAAAATTTTTAAAAGACAAATGTCAAAGTAAACCATTTTTTACATTAGTTATATTATTATGAATTGGCCTTGTTTCTGCTTAAAGTTAAAAATATATTTTCTGGCCAAGAAATACACTTGGGATGTCTAGAGCAATCTCTTTTGTAGCACCTATCTCACATGTGACTAAAATAAATAGTCTAACTAAAATAAACAGACTTACAATGTTTTAAAAGACAAGATTGGAAATTTGTTTCCATATGTCCTTGTGGGACATTCACTTTCTTTTGATTTTCCGGGTATTTGAAACCTAAAAAAATTTTTTAAATTTCTATTGGAATGTTTTTGCAGTATATAATGATTGCATTCATTGGGGGGAGTTGGTACACATACTTAACACACAAATGATTTTAATTAGTTCAGTTACGTGGTTAGTGATATAATTCTAGCAAATCTTTCTCCCTCCCAAGTTAATTGCTAGGGGACAACATAAAATTTCATAAAACTTCTGGTTAGAAAGCAGCTCTTTCCCAATGAATCACGCACACACACACACACACACACACACACACACACAAAGAAAAGCTTTACATATTCAGAATGACTCATTTGTTTTATTTCAGATACTTCCTTCCAGAAACTTTCTCCCTTCAAAAATAAATTAATTCAGAATGAGCTGAGTTTTGGAACAATGCATTACATGTACAGTCTTGAGAAAATTATGCAAACTCTCTGACACTGTTTTCCTTTATCTGTTCAATAAAGATTCAGTTCCTCCAGGAAGTTTCTGTGAGGATAAAGAGAACAAGATGATAGCATGTCACACATTGTTAGTACATACTTGTAAGAGAACACTTCGTAAAGAAACTCTCTCTTCCTTTCCCTCAAGTTCTTGGACAGCCCCTAAACTGGCACTTGGCAGTCTGTTGATCAGTGTGACGCCTAACTGGGGGGACACATACAGGGAGCCCTAAGTTGTTTTAGAGGAAAGGAACTGGACTAGGACATTTGCAGGAGGGTGCCAGGAATTATTTTTTGTTGAAATTGAAAGTAGGAATTTTGTAAAACATACATATGAAGATATTTTTCCAATTTACACAAGTTTAAAAGGGTGTTTTGTTTTTGCTTGCTTTCCCCTCCAAAATGTGATTAATTTGACCCAATCTGCATATCACTTGTCTCCTTTTCCTGGGACCTGCAATAACCTTGACTGACAGAAGGAACACAGCTACACTGGATTATCTGTTTAATGCGCTACTTTTAATCTGTCTTGCTTTGTCAGCTCCCTCTAAACCCTTATAATCTTATTTAAACCACCTCTAACTATAGATGTTTATTTGCATGACATTGATTCTTTGTATTTTCATTGCAAAAATTATATGATTTGAGAGATTTGTGCGCTTAGCCCTAAATTAGTAAATATTTGATAGTTTGTCTTCCAGTACACTAAGACCTTCATCTAGATGGCTTAATAGTATCTTCTCAGTGTTTATAACTATAGAAATTAAAAATTATATAATTGTTTAATGATTACCTTACCTGATAGAATTACAAACTCACCACATTTAAAGACTGTATCCATGTTGTCCATTTGTTGCCTGTTACTTTATCTGTAGTTCAGAGCTCCACGTCATGCATAGTCATTCATTAAAAAAACTATTTAAGTGTCTGGAATTCTAAGAATTGCAAAAACAACAATTAACTAAACTAAGCTGCTGCCCTCACTAAATTTATTGTGCAGTCTAATGGGGTGAAAAAGATAAATAAATAAAGTGGTAAACATATAAGAAGTCAGATCATGATCAGTGGTAAAAAAAAAAAAAAAGAAAGGTAAAGGGTTAGAGAATGATTCATTGTAGGGCAGGACTGTCTTAGATGTGGTATTCAGGGAAGCCTCCACTTAGGCAAGGCTTAAATGCAGTGACAGAGTTAGACATGCCCACTGCCAGGGAAAGAGTCTGCCTGCCAAGAGAACAACATGTGCAAAGACAGGATTGTGTTGGGTGCTTAGAGAAAGGAAGAAGGCAGAGAAGCCAGTTTGGCTACACTAGAAGAAGCACAAGAGTTAAGGAGATAAGGTCTCAAAAGACAAATCATGTAGAGAACATTAGAAGTATGCTATAGTCATTCAGTAAAAGGTGACAGTGGTTGAGAGGATAGGAGCAATGATGGTGGAGGGGAGGATTTGGAATTTGGATATATTTTTAAGACAGAAGCATTAAGATTTGCTGATTGGATGTGGAGTATGAGTGGAATCAAGGATAGCTCTAGAGGTTTTAGCTTAAAGCAATTAAAGGGGAGGTTGCAGCTGATGAGATGCGATTGTTAGAGGCAACTGAGTTAGAAATATTATAGGCAGTCAGACAAGGCTGGACACTCGAAGGAGCCAGTGCAGAAGATGAGATACCCTGCAACGGTGGTGAGACAGACACCTCTGCTGTAGGCCAGACCACAAGACAAAAGATGAAACAAATCCACCCACATACTTCCTAAGGATAAACATCAAAGATTGATATTCTAAGTAGGTGTCTGTCACCCTGAGGAAGCCAGGGACCACTAATGCAATCCTGAACAGGAAGTCACTACCCTTTATACATACCTGCTTTTACTATGTAACTCCTTTCCCCATTTGTCCTCGATTTAATCAATTTTATCTGAACAATTAATCTTATTGGCTGACCATAGTCCTGCCCCACCTCATGCCAGTTCCTAGCTTTTCCCACCCTGGACCCATCTCAACTTGAGGTTTTGCTCTATAAAATCCCTAGGAAAGACAGAGTCCTTGGCAACCCACTTGGGACATCTTCTGTCTGTCTCTCAGACAGAAGCTTTCTTTCTCTCAAAAAACATATTTTCCTAAAATTCTCCATTTTCCTAAAATTCATTCTTTGACTTTAAAGAACACTATCTCATATCAGACAATTAGTAGGTTGGGAGTTTCTTTCCCCCATATTAAGAAGACATCAAGAAAAACAGGCTTGTGGTAAAAGGAGACCAGAGCTATTCGTCTCAGTGCCTCACCAACACTGATTGGAATAAATGAATGAACGTCTTTCATATTTTCTTGTAGTTACTTTAACAATCAAGATTCAACCAAGAAGATGTGTCATGTACATGTACCAGATCTACAACAGGAAAGTAAACATTATGTACCACAAACAAGTACAAATTTTCAAAACTAGGAAACATTTTTAAAAAGAAAATACTTAAACAGAAGTCTAAGTTTTAAGTCTAGTTATCCAAAATTGGTATAAATCTCTCTCCTTTACTTTCAACTATTGTTCCCCAATGTTTTCCTTCTTCAGAACTTCATCCCCTTGTAAAACTGTGTGCCTTGCCTTATTATACTGACGACTTTATTCCCAAGTATTCTCTCATCAGCCTAAGAACTAGAAAAGCGAGACAGGCCTCTGCACCGAAACTCTTAGGCAATAAAGTTAATAGCCATTCATGACTAACGGCAAAGGCAAGGTGAGCAGACAGAAAACTATTTTCCTCAGTGCTGACATGCCAGAGGACGGGGCACCCCATCCTCCCCATCAGTGGGAATTGTATCCTTTTTTTTTTTTTTTTTTTTTAGCACAAATGCCTGCTGCCAAGTCTCCCAACCTGGCTAGTTTGCTTACCACAAGCTTCCCCTGAGATTCTTCATTAGTAAACTGTGACATAACATATCATGCTGCGAAGCGTAATGAACGAGTACTTACCTAGTGTCTACATAATATGCATGGCATAGAGTGAATACCAAACGTTAGTGACTACGGTTTTGTGGGAATAGGTCTTGAGAATGTGGGCACTGCAGTTCCCATAAAAAAGCACATTTCAAATGAGCATTTGACTCAGAAAAATAGGGTAAGAGCTGTGAGGGAGTGACTTTGCCTGCTGGAGACGCAAGAGAGCAGATGCTGGGGTTGACAAGGAGCCTCGGGGGACTTGAGAACAGCACAGAAAGGCAAGCAAAGTCTGCTCCCCGAATAAACTTCACCGTGTACAAACACAAGACTTCTAAAACTAGCAGGTCGGTCAAGCGTCCAGCGATGAAGACCTTTTCACCAAGGAGCAGCCAGAAGGGGGCCTCAGCAGCATTGTCAGTCCATTAACTTCCCCTGAGTTGCCTCAGTGACCTCCGGGTTCCGCCAGACGCCGTTCCCCTGTGAGGTCTGTCCGTGGGTCTGCACTGCGCGACTCCAGCAGCTGCACGAAGTCCAGCCTCGGACGCTCGGTTTGAGCCGCACTGGCGGTCAGAGCCTGTGGCAGAAGCTCCAGCTCGCCGCGCCAAGGCCCCCAGCCCCAAGGTTGCGGGGGCGTGGTTCGCGGTGGCCCCGCCCACTCACCCCATTGGCCGAGGTTGCCTGGGGGCGGGGCCAGCGTACGAGCTCGGGACCCAGCTGCCCAGCGAGGCACCGATCCATGGAGGCGCGAGATCCAGGTGGGTGAGGAGCCAGCGCTGCGCCAGGGAAGTCTCATCCCCCGGCCATGGGGGGACAGGTGAGGCTGCCTCCCGGAGAGCCATGCCGAGAAGGTGAGTCTGGCGCGACCCTTGAGACCTGTCATCGCGGTGCCTGCGATGAGGCCAGGTGGGCGGCCCCAGGCGCAGGGGCTCAGGGGGCTAATCGGTCACTCAGCCACTCACCCGCTGTCCTGCAGCCGATCTGCACACACTGTGGGCTCTGCGGGACGGGCGTGGAATGAGACAGACGAGACTCGCTCTCGGTCCCCTAGGTACACCCATGTAAATGACAGCCTGCTGGGCTGTGAAAGGGAAACTGAGGACGCAGTAGGAAGACCCCGGAGTCCCACCTGAGCAGGCTCCAGGGGCAAGGGGCGTCTCCTGTGGGCACAGGGCGTGGCTAGGGACCCGGCGTGGCTCCTCCAGGGTCCTACGCGGGGTGACTCGCTGCACAGTCACTTCCTGACCAGAGCACAAACAGGGAGGGAACTTTGCTTGTGTTGACTCTTTTCATCACTCCGGGGCTGGGGGGGGGTGGTGTCTATAGTACTCACTGAGCCTGTGAAATCTCTGCGTCCGGCCCCTGGCCCTCTGGCGGAGGTCCGCAGCGCTACCAGATTGTCCACAGTATCCACACCGGAGATACTTGGCTCAAAACACAAACTAAGGGGCCGAAGGAGCAGCGCAGGAAAGGTGTGTGTTAACTAAAATGATGCTTTTCACGGTGGTCAAGCCCATTTCTGGTTTACCTGTAAAGACCAAGAGGGCAGTGAGCAGCAAGGTAAAAACTATGCTTTGCAAAGTTGTTGGCAACTTCCTGGATTTCCATGTCTCTTGGCTCTTTCAGTTTATTCCTTGAGGGAGAAAGTTAAAAAAGAAAAAAAAGTCCAATGAACTCGTTAAAAGTACTATAAAGCTGTGCTGGTGGAGAGAGAAGAGTCACAAACCCCCACACACTAAGGAAACTTGCCTGCACAATTCACAAACTATTCGAAAATCGAGAATGGTAGTCACTAAGACAACTGGGTCTGGAAATATTTCCTAAGCCAGTAAATCAGGCTGTTACTAATACACCCACCCTTGTTTACTCAAGGATCTGTAAGAAGAGGTGTGAATTACACTAGCACGTTTACACTTCTGATGTGTTTCCTATTTTGCTCTTGCAAAAGCAGTTCCACTAAAAAGTATATAAACTCAGTCCTTACAACCTGTAATTAACTGTTGTGATGACTTATGTGGAAAGCCCAGTTGGAATAACTGAAAAAAAAATTAAAATTCATATGTTCAGTAACAGGAACGGATTAGGGTTTGGCATCAGTCTTCCCAGCTCCAATTCAGCCTCCTTGAGCCTTTCTTCGATTATAAAATGAGAACGGTTCCTACTGTTTAAGGCTGTGAGGGGTGGGGCAGAGAGAATTACATATGAAACACAATTAAGAGCTGAACTCGGTGTAAACAAAGGCTCAGTTTTTCATTTATTCCTTTATTCCAATAACAACAACAACAGTAAAAACAAAGGAGTCCCATGAACCAGGCAAACCCCAGGGAGCTGGGCAAGATGGTTTTAGATGGCAGTCCTCTTCCAAACTCTAGGACTAGGTCTCTGCTCTCATGCAGTTTACTGTCCAGAGAGCAGAAAATATGCAACAAGCAAGTCAATTTAAAATACTGTTACAAAAAATACTTCAAAAAATAATAACAATCATTAATAAAATAATATTTAATAATAATAATAAAAGATTGTTACAGTAATGGTATCACAGGTAAGTAGTGAAGGTGTTAAGAATACTTAGATTGGTACTCAAAGGGGAAAGCCACTTACAGAGTGTGATGTTTTAGCTGAGACCAAAGTGACCAGGAGTCATTCATGAGACCTGACAGTGAGTACTCCAGTTGGACTTCGTGAAGAAAAAATTTGATCTTACACTTAGTTCTGACTCTTAAAACTATGGGTACATCAAAGGACCTTCTAATCCAAAATTGTCTCAAAAAATTTAATACTCATGAAGGTTTTTAAAATTTAGGTTTTCAATATTATTGTATGTATTGTCAGTCTCACACTGAGTCCAACAGCCAATAAGACTGTATTAATATGAAAATATGATCCAACGAAATTATAATGTTAGAAACATAATGATCGTCTGTGAAGCTGAATGACGATTTTTGTGCCAGGGACAAAAGAAGGTTTGGAAGGAGAAGAGGGACAGAAAGACTGAGTTGCAAAGTGGACACCCGTTCTGGTTCATCTTAAAAAAGTTCTGACCTGGTTTCAGGTTGAGGAGAGCAAGCTGGAGGTGAAGAACCTAATGTTTCAAGGTTTTCTTTGGTGGATGAGTGTCTGTCAACCAAAAGAGAGAATTATTTTGTTGATATTTATAGCTGATTTAATATCTGTCTTCCTAACTGGGCTATCATGGTTTTGAGAGGAAGGAAAAAAAATTGGCTGAACCTCTGTTTTATTGATTATCCACGTATATAATCTTAAAATTTCAAAGGAGGCTTACAAAAAATATACAAGGTTATCTTCATACATAATTAAATTCTGTATTATTAGAAAAGTATCTCCATTTTACAGGTATAAAAACTGAGGCCAGAGAATTTAATAATAGTTTCATAACCGGTGATAGAACCAAGCACAAAATTATTTGGGCCTCCCTACTGCTGGAACTACAGGCATATACCACCAGGTAGACCTTGAGTACTTGGCTCTCTACTCACTAGGAAAGATCTGGTTCAGAGATAGTGTTTCAATTTTCTTTTTAAATCAAAGTATCTATTCAGTCTTATTTTGATTAATTGAAATAATGGGCAGTTCACCCAGTCACATCAGAGCTTGTATGTAGATGTTTCCCCTATGACTTCTTCATATCCAAATTCGCTCTAAGTTATTTCACATTGTGTTTCTCTGTTGACTCTGAATTAGTTTCCCTTATGTTGCTCCAAGGGGATCTAAGTGATTTTTCCTTCCAATCCTCTCCCTTCCTTCCTGTTTTTTCTCTTACTAAAACTATCCATTTGGTAAGAAACCCCCCCCCATCACCTGTCTTGTTGATCTTTCTCTCACCATTAGAGATACTTATACTTTTGTTTTTAAACTTAGCAGAGAGGCTTTTCCACTTCATTCTATGCAATTATTTGTTCATTTTTTTCTGTCTCCCTCTACCAGACTGTAAGAAAACAGGAATTTTGTTGTCTTTGTTGTATCTTTAGCTTCTAAAAACTGCATGACAGGTAGCAGGCACTCAACATTTTGATTAGATGAATAAGAAGATAACTACTTTTAGGGATGGGCGAGACATAAGATGAGGCGATGTAATGTCAGAGAGGAGCACATTCCTCAGCATGGAAAGTTTTGAAATTTAAGGTTAGCTACGAACTGAGCTTTCGTTATAACTGGGATGAAAAACCATGATGAGCAATAAGCAAGATTAAGTAGGAAAGTGGCATAATCTCATTCACACGGGAAGATGTTAAGAGAATAAACTGTGGTGGGCATACAGAGATTTCATTCAGTTTTGCTTCTGCCCATAAGAATAGGAGGAAGTATGGGCTAGGGATTTAGCTCAGCGGTGTAAGCGCCTGCCTGGCAAGTGCAAGGTGGTGAGTTCGATCCCCGGTACCAAAAAAGAAAAAAAAAATGTTAAGAATAGGTGGAAGCAGCATATATTCTTGCTGATGTGGCTGTAGGTCAGCTAAAGGTTGGCTGATGCAGACTAAGTTCCCTTAGGTTTCTCTGCTTGGGGCCACCCACCCACCTGGGTTGTACCCTCCTGTGGCATGGTCTTCCCCAGGTATTTTCATCCTGGATATTTTTTTTCTGGACTCAGGTTGAAGGGACAGCTGCTCCTCAGAGAACTAAAGAGTCATAAGAAAATAATGCCAGGTACATAAGCAATTTGAAGCTATCCTCATCTTAGCACTGCTGAGGTCCCATTGACCTCCACATCACTTCCAGCCCAACATCAAGGGGTGCGTTCACAGCTTTCTGTCTCCGCAACAAAACACTTGAGATAAATTACAAAGCTGAGTGGTTTAGCTCACAATTTTGGAGATTCCGCTCCAGGATTGCTTTGAAGAAGCACATAACAGCGCGTGTCATGTCTCAGCTTGTCATGAGGCAGTGGAGGGAAAGAGAAAGGCACAGTGACCTTGAAGTGTATTCTGAGGACACAGTGTCTGTCAGTGACCAAAAGGCCTCCCACTGGGCCTCACCTCCGAAGGTTCCACCACCTTCTGAGGGACAAAGCTTTTAACAGATGGACCCCGGGGACATTCAATATCCAAACTACGGCAGAAGAAGCTGCTCAAAAGGAGAAAGATAAAGGGATATTTGCCGAATAAGGAAACTGCTACCAGCCACCTAGGTATGTACACTGAGGTTCATTTGCTCACCACTGACCAAAGAAGGTCATATATTTTTATTGAAAACTAACGCCAAGGACATGGTGAGCCCGTTTGTCTCGTCAGCTTCTCCCCAGGGTCAGGTGGGCAGGGTCTTTTATAAAAGGAACAGGGAGGGAGCACAGAGGGACAATGCAATCTCCACCCTGGCTTTACGGCTTCCAGTCATCTTCAGCTCCTTTTTTGCTTCTTTGTGAAAAGGAAACCAGCTCCAGATGTTAGGGGCAGGCATCTGCATATTGGGTCATTTCAACTCGGCTGTGGAGAAGAGGGGTATGGGTTATTTCCCCCAAAAGAGGAAGCCTAGAGAAGTGGCTTATCTCTAAAAGAAAAAAAAATTAACTTTTACAGTTCTGTTTTACAATGCTGGTTAAAAAACTATCACAGAACAGGTGGTGAGACAAATATCTCCTCAAATTGGAAAAAGTATACTTTTATGCAATCACAGACTTTTTTAGAAACCAGATATCTTAATCCATGTATTAGACTGGCCAAATTAAATTATTGTTCTACAGCAAATAAATATACAAAAAATGTTTGACATCACTGATCATTTGAGAGATGTAAATTAAAACAATGCCGAGATTCCATCTCACTCCAGAAAGAATGGCTATTATTAAAAAAAAAAATCAACCAATAACAAATGCTGGCGAGGATGTAGGGGAAAAAAA